TAACCTAAGAGACAGTTGAAATTTCTAGGCCACATAATGGAAAAAGTAAGCTTAGAAAATACTTACAGGACATATTGAAGGCAAGAGAGGAAGAGGAAAACAGTGCATAACATACTTAATGAGTTTGCGTAAATGGTTTGCTGAATAGGTTTTAAGAGAGATAACAAAAAGACAAAATTTTCTAAGAGCTACAAAGGACAGGAAATTGTGAAGAGCCATGATCACCAACATCCTGAAGAAACACGGTACATAGAAAGAGGAGACTTGCAAATTGCACATATACTTTCCCATTTAATATGCTTCAAAATGGATGAGCTGATGGCAAATGGAATCAGCTAGCCAAGTTCAAATTCTATTTGAGACAGTTTGTGTCCACTTTGTGCCAATGCCTTTGGAGAAGACATGAAACCACTTTTCCCTCCCTGAATCCATGGATAAATAGCAGGGTAGTTGAAGACCTTTACAGAGCTAAAAAAGTCAAACCAAATAAGAGAAAGTTACTGACAAAAAAAAAAAAAACAGTAATCCCAAGTTGGAACAAAAGTGGAGTGAGGGACATGGGGAAAACTTTGAGCTGTTCATGTGACCCCCACCTTTATGCTCCACAGAAGCATAATGATGGGGTCACTATGAATGATGTTGAAGAAGGAAAACTCCAAACTTAGATGAAAATAGATTAGAAATGCCTCCCAATCCAAAAATAGAAGAATAAAGCATCATATTATTAAGTCAATTCTAATAAATTTAAGCATCAATCCTTCATTGATACATGTTTTATTAAATAGAATGGACAGAAAATGTTTAAGCTTTTTGGTGACTTTTCTAAGAGTCACTTATTTGATACAAGGTGAAAACTTGTAAAGGAACTTGCCAAAATTATGTATTATATTCTGAATACTTTTTGCCAAATAATTTCCAACAGAATTTGTTACTGATACTCTGTAAAAAAACGTACATTAAAAGAAACCAATCCACCATCAATATAATATTTGTTCCAATCTAAACACTGGGATGTTAAAATACATTTAAACTGTTGAAAAAAAAGAGAAAATAAATGTTATAGTGATTATTTATTGACACTCAACTATTCCTTGAAAATGGCCAATAATAACTGAAAATACTCTGGACATAACACAATTTTAGCAATCTCCTTTACAAGTTCTCCTCTCCAATGACTTATTCAACACTAGAACAAACTCATAAAAGGATTAAGAGGCTTGGGTTCTAATTCAGTAGACTGAAAATATAACTGAAAAATATATATATAAAGATATAGGGTAGCATAAAATAGTTATTAGCAGTGAACTAAGTTTGGCCTTTAATTACTGGTTAATTCAATGTGAACAAGAAAATTGTTGCTTTATATGCCAGCATATAAAGTATATCTGTTTGTAAGTATATAAAATCAAACACATAAATACATGTTGTATTTAACATCCAACTTTTACAAACAAAGTGTAGCAGCTTTTGTCCTTTTTCACAATAAAAATTCAACCTTTTCTTTTTCTCCCACATCAGAGCTCAATTCTACACTCTTAAACAATTTCTTTTGGTCTGTACTACTAATACTACTATTAGTACTATCAATATTGTAAAAATATCAGAACAAAATTAATGATTTTCATTCATTATAATTAAACTAAGAAATCCTGTTTAACTTTTAACACACACATGCAAGAGTAAAATATTAATTTTACAATATATTTTGAGTTTCAAAATTATAGGCAGACACACACAAACAAGTTATTAAAAAAAAAAAAAAGAAAATACACATATGCACACAGACTGAGTAGATTTAGATTTGGCACTATACACAAAAACAAATAAAATATTTTTTAAAAGTGTGTGACAACAGATGTTGAGGTTAACTAACATTACTTGAATCCACTCCCTCGTCAACTACCTTGCGCTCATGCACACACACAAAAAAAAATATCAATATTAGCACAACACCTGAGGACAGCAAAGTAAAACATCTTTTAAAAATAATCAGGTGTCTATTAATGAAAAATATCTACTTTGTTTGATAATATGGGCAAAATAGTTTTATTTTCAGTGATTAAAATCTGTACATAAAAATTAATGTTGGCTAATGATCTAAAAGCATATTTGTCAAAATAAAATATTAAGAGTAGCAAAAACAAAAATAAAAATAACACATTATGACAAAATCTATTATCATTCAGTATGTATGTGTAGCCATCCAGTCCTTGGCTATTCTGTGTTGGAATAAGGGTTGGGGGTTTAAAACTTTTGACCCCCCCAAAAAAAGCTACAGAATAATATTAAGTGGAAACAAATTGAGGAAAGCACAGAAGAGGAAAAGGCATGAAGGAAAAGTAGAGAAAAATGGAGAGAAGACTAGGTGATAGGAATATATATATATATATATATATATATATATATGACATCATATATTAAGAAATGGACAAAGTCTGACAATTTATTTATTAAAATCATTTTTTATCTATAAAAAGAACGTTAAACATAAAAAATGTCTTTAATATATATATATATATATATATATATATATATATATATATAGAGAGAGAGAGAGAGAGAGAGAGGGGGAATGAAGGGAGGCAAAAGAAAAACAAAAAAATGAGTGAAAGATTTTAAGTGGTAGACAGGGATAGGTACATTACAAATTGTTGATGGAGGGACAGAGCAAAAGAAAGATAAAAGAGAGGATGCAATAGAAAATATTGAAGTACATCATCCAAGTTTGCATAAGAATATGGCTTGACAACAAAGACTGAAAGGAATAAGGGAGGGAATGATATTTGTGTACTTCACATTCGTCCTTTTAAATATTAAAAGTACAACTCATGATTTAACAAATACATCAGAATTTTCACACACTCCAATAATGATATTTTATAAAATTACCTTTGTTGTTATTATTACATTTTGGCCATTGTACAATCTGGCCTTCATCAGGTGCTTCCTCAAGGAATTTCAAACTTAAGCCTTTAATTAATCTACAAGATTTGACTGTTCTTTAGGGATATCTTATTTAGTATTGCTCAGTTAGTGCTTGCCCTATTTCTACTGAGTCCAAACACATACTGCCCAACCCAGGGATTGAACTCACAATTACTATGTGGCTTTAATCCACTTGGCTATTGTCCTATGGGACAATCCTGAGTGGAGAATGGAGCCTTAAATCTAGCCTACCTGCTGATGAACTGCTACTGCTTGTTAGAATGCTTGACTACACTTACCAAAGATTTGTGATTCTATTTTAGTGCCAACAGAATTTGAATCAAATATACATAGGCAATGTTTCTGACTTTCTTGTCAATGCCTACTGCCATTAACCATACTCGGAAGCTTTGTTTGAGCAGAAAATTAAAGAGTTATAGTAATAGAGAAAGAGATTTGATGATTAAACACAAACATTTACAAGTTCCTATATGTTGCATAGATTGAAACTCAGAAAAATGGTTAGGAAATAAGACAAGTATGACTGACAAACTACAGCAGTAATCATGACATAATTATTGACAAAATACAACTATAATATGTATAAGATTATAATTTGATTCATTTGAACTCTTATTCTCATCTTTCAATGTTATAGATGTTATTATAGGCACGTTTCAACTGCATACCCTTCAACCATCATCAGGTGTCCATGTTTTGGCTGATAGGGGACATTAGACTAGATACTGGTGCTGCCAATTCTTACTTGCTCCTGGTGAATCAGAATGTATGCATTTCATAACCTGATCAAGAGATTGAACTCACAACCGCTGCAACACTTTAAACCAACTGTGAAGAAGAAAACGGCTGCTAACCATTTAATCAAAATGTCACCAGATCACATGCTCTTACTGTTGGGCAAGACAAACCACCTAGATGAGGTCAGAGTTACAGACACAATCATGCAAATATTTTATTCTTATAGACAATTGTTAGCATCATGAGGGTTTTATAAACTCCTGTTTTTTGTCACCAGCAAGGAGGGTTGGCAGCATGCAGCTTGGTGAATATGGATTTTACAGATTTTGTGAACCAATATTTTCAAAACTCATCTTGCTACTATACCAATACTTATATCCACTACTCCCCTAAAAGGCATCGGCTGGACATCAGAAGTGTATTGGAGATGGGCATTCTAAATCCAATGTCAGATGGACAGTCATGCATTGATAATTTTATTTGCCTGTTCTTTTTGTTTCAAGATGAAAAATTGTATTTATACTAAGATTTATTGCTTACATTTTTGTTTAGTATAGATAGATATCTGAAGATGGCCATAATGTACTTGGCTGAAACTTCATGTCTATAATAATAACTATAACAACCAAAAATAAGAACAATAGTTTAAATTTTTTTTAAAATTCCACATTTCAAGAAGAAAAGAGTATAAGCTTGTTTTACAAATCAATATCTATGAGTCAAAAAGGTCATTTTTATTTTTATTTTGGCAGAGTTGATTGATAGAATCTTCTGCAAAAATAAATATCTTGGAGTGGATAGTTTAAAATGACAAATACTGGAATAAAAAGACTTATAGAATGTTCATTATCATTAGTCTCCTAATACTTCATGGTCTTGAAAGAAAATAAAATCAGATCTTTTGTCCACAAAACTACTTCATTCTCTTTTTAAATGGAGACGACAATATTTACTGGAAGAAATAAAAGTTGTATCTGCCATTTCTTTTAACAGAAGTATCTCCCAATTTAAAATTTTCCTTTTGTCTGCAATAAGATTCATTGATTGATTCATTCATTCATTTTCTATGGTTCATAAATACTTTGCAGGTTATTTAAAGCCAGAAAATATTTTAAGATTGTAAGAATTTTTTTTTAACATAACAATTTAGTAATACAAATCTTAATAATTAAACCATCATTGGGGGAGAAGAAGTAGATTCATATTCTTTCCAAGAATATTTACACATGGATATAATGAACCCAACAGGAATTGGAACTTGGCTATATCATTAACAATTCCAAGCCATTATCCATTATACCACCCACCCATCCAAGCTTACAGCATCTGATATTCCCAAGAGTCATCCATCTTGGTACTGACTAGGCTCAATGTTGCTTAACTTCAGTGATCATATGGGAACCAATGTTTCAATATGATATGGCAGTAAGCCCTGTCTGCAATAAGAATTTTATAATAACATGCTTAGTGCTTGTAAATAAGTCTGTCAAATCTTGGTATCTTTTTTTTTTTTTGCTTTGTTCAGGACTAACAGAAACCTTAGTAGATATTAAAAATTTGGTACTTTTGAAATTTATATAAAGCTAGGAGAGATGGCACATGGAAACTTTGAATAAACTAAATACAAATATTGATTGAATTATATTTTCAGTTCTTTTTATTTAGTTTAGTTTTAAAAAAATAAATAACTTGGAGTGGAAAGTTTAAAATGATAAATACTACAAATATTATATGAGTGTGTATCGAAAGGTTCTCAACCTGATTTCATTCCTAAACTCTGATTAAACAAGAGAATTTTATTTTTGAATCCTTTCTTGGTCAAGTCAGGAACTTTTCAGCACCCCCTCATACATATAATAACCTCATTCTGCCAGTACCACTTCATTAATTAAAAAAACAGTGAAAATTCTTTTTAGTTTTAAACTATTTCTATAGAGCTACTATTTTCAGTAATAATAATTTTTCTATAAAATGGCTTTTAAAATGAGTTTATTTTTATCAGTAATATTTGAACTAATTCCTGACTACAGACAATTCTGTTTCTAAATACACAACATGTAAAGTCAGTGCCAAAACCTGTTAAAAAACATAAGCAAAAGAAGGATAGATTACCAGTAAAGTCTATGGACAATGATGTTAAAAAACGAAACTGATAAAATGACTACCTACACTAGGTTCGAATTCAGTCAATGCTAAAATGCAATCATATTTTGACTGTTTTTATTATTGCCAAAATTTATTATAATCATTAAATCCTATTTATTATATCATAAAGCCCATAAACAGTGAGGTTGATATGCAATATGAGGTCAAAGGATAAGAGGTCAACACTGCAGTAAATTATAATTAACACACGTTGTGCTTGATTAATTACATGTTACCTAGATTAAGGATTATCTATTAATACAAATGGAAATTAATCCTTTTTTTTAAAAAACAACAGCAAATCTTCAAGATCTATGCAGTATGTAGATTATACCTACTGATATCTATGTCTCGTATATATATATATATATATATATATATATATATATATATATATATATATATATATATATATAAGAGCAAATATGTTTTCTCTGAATAATAATAAACATACAAATGACCTGCACTGTTTATGTAATTTATGTATGTTTCATTGAATGCAATGCACAAAGGAAATGTGTTAAGTTTTTTATTCGTTTTTTTTTTTCTCGAGATTTGAGAGTTTTTCTTTTATAAAGACAGGGAAAATTTCATAAGAAACAAAGAGTACTGAACTGCTATGTAATATCAATCATTCTATTTGGCAGAGAATGCTGGACAATCTCCACAAATATGAAGAAAAGACTTGAGGCAACAGAAATGTGGTTCTACAGAAAGATGCTGAGAATACTGTGGACAGAACGTGAGAGCAATAACTAAGTCATAGAGAAAACGGTAACAAAAATGACATTTACACATAGCATCAGAAAGAGAAAGTTGAAATTTATAGGGCACATAATGAGGAAGGAGAGCTTGGAAAATCCAACACTCACAAGATATACTGAAAGCAAGAAGAACCAATCAAAAACAGTGCATAACCTATCTAACAAGATTGTGTAAATTGATAGTAGATTAGGGTTTCAGAGAAGTAGTAAAAAGATAAAATTTACTAAGAATTACAAAGGACATGAAATTGTAAAGAGCCATGATTGCCAATGTCCTGAAGGAGCATAACACATAGAAAAATTATTGATTATTGATTCTACACTCTTAGTCCTCAAAGAAAACTATAAGAACACTAAAAAATCTTATAAAATATTTCTTTTCCATCTCATTCAATAAAACATGTATAAAAGAAAGATTACTGCTCAAATATACAATATTTATATAATTTAAAGCATGCAAAAAAAAAATAAGAAAGATAAAATGTAATGTAAAAATGATTCAGTTAGTAATAGTTGAAATAAATCCCAAGATTTTCTTCCTTGCATTATCTGGGATTGAACCATAATCCTTATGCCACCAATCCAGTGATCATAGCACAGAACTATCACACAATTAGTGTACTAAGATCATTGAGAATTTAGTCATGAAATGCACTGACATTTATTAAAGGCATACAATTGATTTTGAAAAGAATAACAAGAATCCTTAAAGAAGAAAATTTGTCTTCTCTTGATACTAATCTATTGTTGCCATAGTAACAAAGATTTCACAGTCCTAAAGAGTTCTAAAATTAGAGCTGAAAGAACAACTGGTGCCATTAGAAAATACAATTACAAGAAAAAGAAGCAGTATTGTCAAATGATAATATAAAAGCCATAAGACCCAAGTTTAAATGAGAGTTCACAATTACATTATTATATACTTTTAGGAAAGAGAAAACCTCGTACTTTTAAAATTCACCATACTTATAAACACATTTATATATAAATTAGAATTTTGTAAGTCTGCTTATTAGAATTTGGATTATTAAGCTCTGTTTTAGTTGCTTAGAGAAATCAGTAAATGAAAACATTTTGTGGTGTGATTATTGAAACATTATTTGCCAGACAATATATAAAAAGTGATATTCTGAGTTTAATCAATAATGACAACTCTGGATTTAATGTGGATTATCAGCTAAATCCAAACAGCCAACCACCATGCAGAAGTTTTAATGGATTACCAAATGCAATAAAAAAAAAAAACTCAATCAATAAGCAAATATTTTGCAAGCCTGTAAAAGTTATGCATCTGGATCAAGTAATATAATATTATGAAGCAATGAAATTGAATTTATTTTTGTTGTAATGGAATGTCCCACACTCCCTATTGCCTATGTGAACTGACTATATCAGTAGATATATATATATATATATATATAGTAAGCACAGCATATACCTGGCGGACTTGCTTCAGGAATTACTAGCTTGCTAACCAATTATGTGTCTTTCAGTAGTGTATTCTCTTTTACAATAAACCTCTCTTTCATCTACACCCATGTTGCTGTTCCTTTCACTTGAGTACCACCTTTGTTTGTAACCTTCTTTAAGGATACAACAATTTTGCTACATGTCCCAATTTTATTATAGTTGCTTTTTATCTCAGCACTCTGGATCGACATAGTCTTCAACCGATAAAACAAGCAGTATAAAATAAAAAATAAAAATGTAGTTTCTGTGAAGGTTTGAACTCAAATCCCACACTTCAGAAGTGGATATCACTATAATCACCTCAGCCATAGAGGCTTCAAATTTTAAGCAGGGTACAGTTAACATCTTACCACACCCTCTCCTTTCCAATACTCTATGCCAGCTTTGTTTTACTACCAAATAATAACAGATTTATTGTTTTCTCTAGTAGTTTAAAAGTATATTAAGTGTTATGAGAAAACAAACACTAATAATAATAGGTTGGAATAAAATAAATAATAAAATACCAATAGTATCACAGTGAATGGTCTTCATTTAAAAAATAACTCAAAACTCTCATTAGATAGTAAAACAAAGACAGTATACAGAATCAAAATAGAGTTGAGAAAGGGCAGAATGAGGAGAGGGTTGTACTCGACTTATCTGACAGATATGGTTATAGCAACATCCCATAAAGACAAGCTGAGGGATTTGTGTTCACTTCTCATTAGATACTACAGTTTTTGTTTTTTGTTTTTTTTTAGATTTTGTGCTCTCAGGGTTATACAGTATATTGGCTTAGAATACTAGGATAAAAAGCAACAATGATAAGCAGGAGAAAACTGAGTAACTATGAAAATGCCTCACTTCCAAATAAATGTTACAATAGTGTTTACATGTAAACAATAATAAATCAGACTGCATTTTGACTCAAAAAGTTCAGCTAATCTATGAGTTGGAAAAGAAGCCAAGTCAGGTGATGGGGGTTGAAACATGAAGCCAACATTGCAGAGATAGTAAAATGCTAAATCGAATTGGCTAGATTCAAGCCTGGTTACTTTTGTCTTTATTTTTCTAAGTATGCAAAGAAAATGTCTGTTTTCTTTCCAAAGTATGTATTTTTATTTCAGTGCATATAAACATTGTCAGGATGAACAGAGCCTATCTTATAGTATTGCAAATACCAGTGTCCTCTACCCTTGAGATAAAAGAATGTTTTTTTAAGTTAAAAAAAAATATGAAAGGCCCTTTTGTGTACCAGAAAACATTATAAACATTATATATATATATATATATATATATATATATGTGTGAGAGAGAGATAAATTTCAGTAAAAGGTGAGGTCATTGGAAACAATAGTAAAATTTTGAATTCTGAGTTTTATTACTAACATCTCAATCTTTGAAACAAATGTTTTTTATAATATAAGTGTTGCTAGATACCATCTGAGTGGCAGTCTGGCAAAATGGCATCTGATGCGAAAGTGCATATGAAGCAGAAGGGTAACACTGAATTCATCCTTGTGGAAAAATTGCACCCACTGATATTCATTGGCACTTGTTTAATATTTATGGAGACCAGTCACACTCCAGGTGGCTTTATATAGTTGTTAATTCATAAAATGTTCATCAATGATGAAAATACATGACCAATGATGGTGACTATTTGGAAAAATAATGTTTGGTAGCTGAAAACTTGCTCTATCAAACAGTGTTATTGTAATCTGTTAGAGTTTACATGAAAATAAATTATAGGCATTATACTTTTAGAGTATCCCTTCATATAAAATATAATTTTCTATATTTATCAGTCATACAACTTTATCTCTTCTTCTTAATAATGAAATATTCCAATGTGTTGCTAACAGGAGGTATTACTCAACACCATTAAGTGAATATATTATTAGTGAATAGGGAGATCAGACTGATAATACATTGCTTTTTATTTCTTTTATGTTAGCTGTCTTTGGTTATTTTTACTTTTCATTATTTAAAAAGCAGAATTCTTACTGAGAATAAATGATACATCACTAACATGGAGTAATTTATATTTATGAAATAATTTGTG